TGGCGGCTGCTGACGCCCCACAGCAAGTCAAATGTATGGGGCTGTCCCCTCGAGCTTGCTGCTGGGGCCTGTGTCTTGGTTGCTCTCAGGCTCCTCTACGGTATCATGCAGTGGCAGCCCGCTGCAGCACCCACAAACACCTGCAGCAGCAGCAGCAGCAGCAGCAGCAGCAGCAGCAGCAGCAGAAAGAATGGGGGAAAACCACAAAATATGGATGAAGCTGTAACCACTGCTCTGAGGCTCTGCACACAGACAGAAGAGGAGCTTTCTGGTAGACACATTCGCAGCAGCAGCAGCAGCAGCAGCACAAGCAGCAGCAGCAGCGGCAACGTCGATGACCCTGAAAAGCCCTTGCCGCAGCCGACGCAGTGTGAGTGTTCCTCTCCAGCAGCAGCACAAGACAACTCTATGAGCAGCAGCAGCAACAGCAGCAGCAGCAACCGTACGAGCAGCAGCAACAGCAACAACAGCAGCAAAAGCAGCAGCAACGTAGAAGGCCCCCTGGCTGCTTTTGGGGGGCCCCTCTCTCCTCGGCGGCTGCCCCTGCAGGTGCTGCGGTGGGCGACAGATAGATTTTTTGTTTATCTGGATGGGTTGACATTGATGTGGGTGATAGGGGTTCGCCAGTCTGCAGCAGCAGCAGCAGCAGCAGCAACAGCACTTGCTGCTGCTGCAGCTTTTGCTGCAGCACCTGCTGCTCAAGCAGCAGCAGATGGATTCAACCTTTACTTCTTCCCCGCCAAACAAATAGGAGAGCGACGAGCGGGAAGAAAGGCCATCCGTTTCTTGCTGCTGCTGCATTTCCATCAAAAGCAGCAGCAGCAACAGCAGCAGCAACAGCAGCAGCAGCAGCAGCAGCAGCAGGTTCGTGGGAACGACCTACTGCCAGCCCCCGTTCTCCGCTTGCTGCTACACCCAGAGGTGGGTTTGCTTCTGCTGCTGCTGCAGGGCCGTGGGGCCCCCAGCAGGGGCCTCTGGGGGCCCTAAGGAACCCACAAAGACCCCTCAGGCTGAGTAGTAGTAGTAGCAGCAGCAGCAGCAGCAGCAGCAGCAGCACAGCTTCAGTGGCGCTGCAGTTGACATTGTTGAAGGGTTTAGGGTTTGAGGCAACGTGGGTTGGGGTGAAGGGGGGTGGAGCGTAGACCTCGTGAGGGTTTGTGAAATCTATTAGGGTTTATTGGGTTTA